ACCTTAGGGCAGTTCAAAGGTTTTGGAGTGTTATTGGTTCTTATTGGTAGTTTGGTTGTCAAGTTGATTTTCATTGGTTTTATTCTTATGGTCATTGGTTTTACCGCCAAAATATTCATTCTTTGTCTTGTTGAGTTAATGACCAAGACTGAGTTTTTATGGACTCCATGACTGACTTTTGGAGACTGACAAATTCCATTTTCTGGTAAGTACTAACTTTCCTTATTACTAATTGTCAAGTAATATGTCTATTCCATAGATCTGCATTTATTAAAGATCCCAATTTCACTTCATATTAATTGAATGTCATGACCATGAGAGAAAGATGTTATTTTTATGATTGGAATTATTGATTATAAAGATCAGTAATGTATTATATTATAAGTGTAAATTGTTATATTCAAGTTACACCATATATTTTTATGACCCAGATATTTGGTAACTTTGTTCAAAGTGAAAAGATGATTTTATTTTAAAGGAATATATATTTTAATGTATACTGTATTAAATTACAGAGTCCATATACATGTTAATTAAAGCGGTTACCACCATATCATTGTGGAAGCCTTTTCCCACAGAATGGTGAGGAATTATTTGTTTTAATTAGTACTATTTTTTATGCCTTTATATGGGAGAAAATATGTAATGTCCATATATTGACTATAAGAGTTATCTCCCTTAATTGAGAGTAAATGTACATATATCTGTATCATCTATAATATATCAATATGAATATGTTACTATGAGAGCTACATGTATAGATGATTAATAGGATTGATTTGATGTGTTATTATATTGTTGTTTTATTATATTTCAGGGCTGTTAACATTAACATTTGTTATGCTCACTGTGTCGAATAAATATATGACCTGAACCCTGACAGAGGAGTACGTGTTGTTCTTCATCACAACCCCCTGTTACAAATTTTAAACCTTCTTTCGGTGTGAATAAAGTTTTGAATAGTAACACGTAAGGCCCCTAACAGCACTTACCTTTTTAACCCGAAATTCCTTCGGGGTTATGTAAACTAAAACTGCCGATACATGTACCACCACTTTTGAATTCAAATATTTTCAGAACTTTTAAAATATATATTAAGATTATTCACAGCAGCGATCATTGTTCTTTCACTTTAAGTATACAGATATTTCCTTAACTAGACTTCTAAACATGAATGTAAACATTCAAATGAGCGAGTGAACTAATAACTTCTAGGTCATTGCGCGTCACAACATAGCAATACGGCGTCCCGTTCGTGTAATAAATGCAGTTTTACTTGAAATTTATTCGTCTAAATATAAGTGATAAACAACAATGTTACAAAGTTCACTAGGAAATGAACTTTTAGTTGGTACGTTATCAAATCTACTGAGAAGCCCTTCGGGCTTCACAGGATTTGATCTTGTCACCAACTAAAAGTTCATTTCCCAGAGAATTTTTAACATTTTTGTTTACTTCTTAAATGACTTCGCCTGAGTACACCCGATAGAACGGGCGCATTTTTCTTGCGATCCGGATTTCTTTTTCTGCGAGTCTGATCAGAAACTTCAAACACAACATTTCACATTGCAAATATTTAGTGTAAATAGTTATGCTTTTGTTTTCTCTTCTTTTTTTCCCTTTGTTTTTATGACTTCTTAACTTTTTTCCTTTGTCCTTGGGAAAGGGACAGGTCGTCCCAAACATTGTACAATTTTCCTGTCATTGGACATTTTCATTCTTTATATAAATTTCCATCCATGATCTTGTATCTACTTAGTACATCCGACTTTTAGGATATACAGTGTTGTTGGTTTTAGTGCTATACTTATGGAATCACTCTCTAGTTAGTATAGTATGCCAGGGCATCAACAATAGTGAGATACGTGGGATAATTTGCATAAGGGGCATAAATTATTCCACGTTTTCCAATACTAGTATCGTTGATGTCCCTGGCTTACTATACTATCTAGACAGAGATTCCTTATATTTCTATTTCGTTGTGAAATAAAATTGTAGATTTATATTTTAAAATTGTAGACTAATAGATTTAAATTACACGGGGACTCCCATGCCAATTCTGATAGATAGTTTTCATGAGACCCAAATTAACAAGAGTTATTTTCCGTTGGCTGTCATATTTCGGTTCAATATGCTCATATTCCTTCATTATTCAACCAACTTTAAATTTTCAAACTGGAAATCGTGGGGGTGGGAAACATTGTTTTTTCTTAAAATTATACATTTGTTAGAGCCTCCTGCATTTCGTAATTTTTATTCCAGAAAGATTTTCACCCATATATTTCTGCTACACCCTCTTATATTTGGTAGGACAAAAAGGGAAAATTACCAGATTAACCACCAAAATTGAGGTCAATGGGAAATAACTCTTGTTTATTTGGGTCTACTGACAATTATCTATAGTCTTCGCCAACTAAAGTCTAACGTATAGACAGATGCGCATGAGGTTTACATTCATATTAGGCCTCCTTTACTCTTAAGCTATTGAGTTGCCAAATTTACATTCCGGTAGAATTATCAAGAAATCAACTCCATTAACTTACAAAGAATTATCACAGAGGAAAATGAAATATTTTTCTGGTGCATAACAAACCCTATTCGACACCCGAAGAGTCCATGAATGTATAATATTGTAGGTGATTTTTTTTTTTAGAAAAGTATAACATGCTTTGTAAACAATCTTTACTTGAACACTTTAAATTTTGATATAGGAAAGAAAAAGCAATAGGAAACCGAAAAGCAAACTGAATACTGTAGAAGTACTTTTCCGCGTGGTATTAATCTACGCTATGTACACGGTCACAAATTTTCCGCGAAAATTTTTCTAAGCGCACTTCATATAATGTAAGGAATTTAGTGACAATCTAGAAAATCCGCCTAATGTTTTACCCGCGGATTAAACAGAAATTGAGATTCCGTGGAATTATGACCCCGCAGAATAAAGTACGTCTACAGTATATTGAAAGAACTTTAGTATTTTTTTCATTATGAAATCGAACTCCTGTCCTAATGCATGTAACCATCACTCATTTCAGATTATTTTCATTCTAATCACGTTTTGCAAAGTCCTTGCTTAATGACATCAGGAATCATATACTATCAGGTCCTGAAATTTCATTACATAGAAAAATAGTACTTACGATATGTTTTTATGAAATACTGATTCCCGAGAAATGGTTCAAATATAATTATAGTTAAAGTTTTTGAATGAAATATGCGGATATAACGAGCAGTATCTGAGCTCAAAAGTCCACTTAACATTACAAAATAGGAGCGGAGCAATCAAAGGCCTCCAAATCATCGGAGGTGGATAAAGTGCCATCCAATTAAAACATCAAGATATAAAACTGTTGTCAAACAGAGAAATAAATCAAATGTGTCAATAAATACATCAACCGTCAAAAAGTACTAAAAAGTTTAAGAAAGATTCCAAACATTCGAGTTTAACTAGTTTATTTAGTTTAAATATAAGAAAGAAAAAAATGAAGTCTTTGGAATTTATCTAATGTGGAAAAGTTAAAAAAAGTTTTAATATGAAAAACAGATAAGAATTTTAGAAAAGAATTGTGGCACTGATTCCCCTCCATAGTTTCTCATAATCAAAATTCGACAAATGAATAGACTTGACATTTTTAGAGATGTGAACTGTTTTTGTATTTTAGTCAGAGCTCGAAATAAAAATTCCGGAAAACAAAGTTTACAATATTAAAGATAAACACATTCATAATATGAACACATAGGAAACATGATTGCACAGTTGTACGTTCGGATCTACATGTTTGGATATCTGAATTACCTACTTATCCTCGTATATACATGTACTGAATATGAAACTCATACGATTACAAGTTTTGATTAACAAGCTGAAAAGATGCATGTATGATTTACAAACTTTCACGTCTGGATTTTTTAACACAATTACCCTCCATATTTAAAAGCTATAGTCAAGGGTAATAATTTTAAAAAAGATTCGGGCCCAATACATAAATATACAAGTACTTATATCCAGGAAAAGGACATGTAACTTCAAAAATTAGTGCTCAGATTATCATTATTTGTTTCAAAAGTGAAACATGCCTAAACGTAAGCTCAAGAGTTCAACAAATTGGTTTCCAATGAAGGAAGAATATGGAGATAACGAACAGTATTCAATATCATAGTCCATAAAACAATACAAAATAGGAGCAGAGCAAACACGGACTTTCGAAACATCAGAGGTGGGATCAGGTGCCATGAAAGGTCTTTTCACAAGGAATACCCATATCAAATATGAAAACCATTCCCTAATCAATTTAAGTTATAGTAAAGGATAAAGTTTGCAAACAGATGTACAGCGAGACAGATAGAGGATCGGACAGGCAAAAACAATTTACTGCTGAATCTTTGATTATAGAGGCATTAAAATCGTTTTATACTTCACGCACATTCAACAGTTAATGCATGAATATGAATTTTGTCAAAAGATGTTTTAATTGAGAAACCAATGAATTGTGTAATTACTGTAATACCTTTTAGACTGTTACTCAGCATTCATAATTCATTTCAAAGTAAAGATTTCAATGAAAACTTTCTTGATATTTAACCCTATTCTTCTTGGTAAAAATGGATCATTATAATTCTGATTTTATTAAATGTATCGATCCCATTTATTTAATATATTGTTTTAAAATATTACAGCAATATTTTGAATATGTTGTACTCGTGTCAAGTTTCAGTTTTCTCTAATTGCCTCTGACAGAATAATAATTCAGATAAAAATCAGAATATTCTGTTATGCGTCAAACAAGCATAGAAATTAATAGCAAAGTTATGTAGGATAATTATTATGGACACAACTTTTATTACCAATCTATTTTCATTTTTATATGACTTGAGCCACCTCAAATTTTTGTTTACTTGACTACCTTATGTTATTTTTCAAAGCCCCTAGGAAAGTCTACCATAGGACAACTGGACGGAAAGTATAAACTATTGCAGTGTATATAGGTATATGAATTAGAATGCCTCAAATGATGAAAAAATGTGTAAAAAGTAAGAAGAACTAAATTCTAATATTTTACAATTGATCACTGAAAACTAAAAGATAAAAATTTCGCAGAAAATAAATCATGTGTAATTCAATGTTTTTCGTTCATCCTTTGCATCACGATCAAACACATTTGCATTTAGAGAATTTTTTCGAGATGTTACTAAATTTCATGTATGAACCCACGTAAATAGGAATTCATTATAAAAGATATCATCATATAACTAGCAGCAGGACTTGAATTCATTCGTCATTGTTAATTAAGCTAAACAAATAAAATTTTGTTCAAAACTTTTTCAGTACATTACTAAACTATCCCAAATTACATGTTCATCTGTGACTTTGTCACATGTGTAATTTTATTATGTATCTGATACATTATTGCATTAGAAGTCTCTATAAAAGGAATATTGAACAGGAAATCAGTTTATCATCGATGCAATTTTCCAAAAGTTATTAATGGCAGGTTCCCTGACGCTTGTTTTCCTTCTCTTCCTCTGCTTCGCTGCTGCTGCTGCAGATGAGCACCTGCTTCCCTATAGTAATGTGGCGTATGGAGAGTCTGCGAATCAAAGTTCCAGATATAATTCTGAATTATATCCAGCATAGAATGCTATCAATGGCTTTCTTACAGACTTCTCTCATACCAGCAAAGAAAGATTCCCATGGCTTAGAATTGATCTAGGAAAGACCTATGAAGTTCAAGAAATAGAAGTCTTCGCCAGACCAGATTGCTGTGGTAAGTAATCAACAATTTATGCATAAAACTCTCTAATTGTTAATTAATGATAATTTTGAGAACATTTTTATCAAGAAATCTAATGCACAAAAAGTTGAGGATAATAGAAAATTATTCCTAAGAAAAATATTCTGATTATCGTTGGAGTCTACTGCTCTATGCTTAAAATTTTCATAATTGTTATTTTTATTTTATTATCATAACATCACAACAAATCAATTTCATTCGCCACGACTTTTTTCGCAATTTACAGGGGGTAAACTAGTTCGCAAATATTAATTTTCGCATTTGTTGAAAAAGACACAGAATCTTTAAGGACCGTTTCATCGATAGAAATATTCTCGATAATGGGGCTCTCGCTAACCTCGCGAAAATATCTCATACGCGAAAAAAGGTTTTTACAGAATTGAGATACACTGCATGACAATGAGACATGATTCAAGACATTGAAACATCGAGCTTGACGGTTCCTTTTCGTCACGATAATTTTATGTCCTATATAAGTAATGTGTACATTAAAACCGAACATGCCTACTACGTACGATTTAACTCATTAGAATTGTTTAACTAACCATATACATGCAACCGATATATTTGATAGTAATCTATGAAAAATTTAAATAATAAAATGTACCACCTATTGAAAGCAGTAAAATTTGGTAAAGCCTTAGCATTTCTTAAACATCATTTTAAAAATAAAAAATAAATATCTATATTTAGGGAATAACTATCTTCTAATTTGGTATTTGCGACGGTTAATGCTGATTTAATGGTCGCAAACTGCGTAAGCGGAGCCGGTAAAACGGATGTTTGCGACCGTTAAATCAGCATTAACGGTCGCAAATACCATATTAAAAGATTAGTTATTCCCATTCTAATGCAATCCATGTATTTTGTTTATTGTTTACGTTTTATTTTGTTGAATTTTGTTACATGAAGTACGTGGAGCATTGTATTTTTGCATCGCTCTATTATGAAGTCACAACGAAAAAGCTTTCATGCTCGTTAATGCTCGTTTTACTGCTTCAAACATCAGTGCATTAGCCAATCAAAATGTGTTTTACAAAACAATTGCATTAGAATTTGATTTTGAAATCTATTCTAGTCCATTTAAAATTAAAATAGCATTTCTTCCAATTTTTGTATCTAAAATATAAATTCAAGGAAACTGACAGTGAAATATAAATTTATGAGATGTTTTCCCCTTCAACCTTGTTTTTTTTTTTTTTCATTTTATCAATGTATTGTACTTTTTACCTTATGAAATATAGGTGGACGACTTCGAAGCATAGACGTCAAAGTGGACAAAGAACCGTGTTCTGACTCGATGGTCTTTTGTGGTCATTTCTGTGGACCTGCAAACGTTGGAGAAAAGTTTTCTGTATGGTGCCCTTCTAATACAACTGGCCGATATGTACATAAACAGGTCGTGGGAGGATCGGAGACTTACTTAGACCCGGCAGAGGTGGCTGTTTGGGGACATTTGTAATGATCAAAGAAAAATCAATAAACTAATTTTGCATGAAATATACAATTCTTTCATTAATTTGTTTTTCAATGTAACATATGGATGAATTTTGATGTTAAAATGAATTTGAAAGCAAAAAAATTAGGAGATTTTTATCTTTTATTACCACGCTTTTTTTCTCTTGTACACTTTACATTTTGAATTAATGTCGTCCAAGTTGCATTTATTTAAGTAAATATTATGCATATTATGCATGCTACCTTGTGCTCCAGAACACCAGGTGTAAAACTGAAGAGTATCTGACTCAGGGGATGGTGGAATTTTGTACGGAAACATAGAGATAATTTCTCAGAAGAGCAGAAATGATATAATTGTTATCATTGACAGCTGCTCTAATTTTTCAAAAAAAAAAAAAAATATTTAAAGGTATAAAATATTATATGTATTCATTGAATCTTTTTTTTTCAATGTTTTATTTTGAAGCTTTTTCCATATGCATATATACAAACACATAGCAAACAATTTTCATTGAATCTGATAAAGTCATACACGTAAAAAAGAAAAAAAAACAATCATAGGATAAAATCTGAAAGGAAAATTAAATTTCTTATTGGTTGGCAATGGCTGCTACGGTCTCTATGCCACAGAGAACGTTCAGATTTACACTCTGTATGTTTCAATTTGATCCGATCTTTTAAAAAAGCACATTTCTATAGAACTGAGGTTTATATTTTTAAATATGCTGGAGTGGTCTTAATTTTTCCATTAAAAAAATGAAATCAAATTCTTAAAATAATAACTGATGGTAATAAGCAGAAAATTTATAAATATAAACACATCTTTAAAAATTTGAAAAAAAAAACGTTTTGTTTTCTTTGATACCTACCCCTTTAACGTAGATCCTGAAAACTTTTATGATTAATATTTTTCTATGAATAACTAACCAGACTGTTAATTTCAACTATCCTCTTATTTCTAACCGGGCGCAAGAAGCTGACACAAAGGATTTAATATTGATATAAAGTTTACAAAATTGGGCTTTTCTCTTTCTTGTAAACATAGCACAGTGTTGTTTTCTTCGTTAAATTATATCAATATATTATTCAACTTAAGTTCTACCTGAGAAGTATCATTCAAGGTGTGTCATATGACTCTTTACACTTAGTGAATTGTTATACAACATACACTTAATGTTCACGTCAAAGAAATGTGACGTTACATTTTCCCTGCAAGTATTTTATAGCGCGGTACAAGTTTCTCTAAAGTTTAGCGTAAATAAAATTATGACGAAATATTTTACCAAGAAAATAACATTTCTTATTTTATGAGACTTTAGCAAGTATAGAATAGAAGGAATTTGGCATTAAATTAAAGATTAAATATACTTTTTAAACTGCGTGAGAAATGTGTGATTGCTTGGAAACGGTATATGCTTGATTCTGTGTTAGAAATAGGAAATGGTATATATAATACAGTAAATATGTGAAATCAGGAATTTCATGTATTCCCTAAACCTTTCAGTAAATACATGTATTTACTGACCATTTTAGGGAATACATGAAATTGCTGAATAGCTAGGTAATTCATGTATTTACTGAAAATGTTAGCCAATTTTACAAGTTTTCACTGAACAAAGCTTGATGAATACGCATATCCTTTAAAACATTCACTATGCATACAAATACTAATACAAATGCTATATTAATAGAATATTTTTCCGAAAAAATAATAAAACATGTTTCTTGGATGATAAAGGCCACAGCTTTAATAATTGTTTCAATGACAAATGTCAGACAAGCATTTAACAATCATTGAGTGCCACACACCGAAATCAGTATAACGGGTGTTATGGCACTTCGCCTTCTAGGGTAATCCATAGCAAGACGTAACAATATTTATAAATCGACTCCTAGGGTACCCCTTAGCGAGTAAGCTGGGATATGTAATTGCCTATTAGGGGATTCCTTAGCGAGGCTACTACATGTTATACCGAACAGGTAAGCCCACTATACCGAGTAGGGCAAAAATAACCACCCATTATACCGAACGGGGTACGAGGTTACTGTTATACCGAACAGATCTCTCACACAAGCTCCTAGTGCACTCCATAGCAAGCTTGTATTGGCTCCTAGGGTAGCCTTAGCGAGCCACCACATGAATTACCAATCACGTAAAACAGATAATCATACATAAACAATAATTAATATAATGATGACAAATGTCTCTGCTTGTCTGACATATCCGTAAAGCTGCGACAGCAACATATCGTTATTCCTCAGTCCATTTCCTGTAGATCACAATCTTGCGCACATAAACATAAAACATCCACAGTTAATTGTAACTTGAAAAATACAAATAAACAGCAGAAACAACAGCATCTCAAATTCTTAACATGTTTAAAGTAGCAATCTATCAACAACTAAGATTTAATTTCTCATTAAGTGGGGGTGGTGGGTGGGAAACAATTATCAAAAGTGCAGAAACGCTGGGAAAGCTATCGAGCAAGAGGAGGAAAACGCCACGTGCGCCCCTCTTTTATACTCGCGGCAATCCGGGGAAAGTGTCAAAAGACCTACCCCCCTGTGTTTTTTGGAAATCAATTAAATGCGTTTAATTAGCGATTGCTTTAAACGACCTTAATAGAATATTTTTCTGAAAAAATAACAAAACATGTTTCTTGGATGATAAAGGCCACAGCTTTAATAATTATTTCAATGACAAATATCAGACAGACAAGCATTTAACAATCATTGGGTGCCACACACCTAAATCAGTAACAGGCGTTATGGCACCTCGCCTTCAAGGGTAATCCATACCAAGGCGTAACAATATTTATAAATCGACTCCTAGGGTACCCCTTAGCGAGTCAGCTGGGATATGTAATTGCAGGTTACTGTTATACCGAACAGATCCCTCACACAAGCTCCTAGTGTACTCCATAGCAAGCTTGTATTGGCTCCCAGGGAAGCCTTAGCGAGCCACCACATGCTCTACCAATCACGTAAAATAGATAATCATACATAAACAATAATTAATTTAGTGATGACAAATGTCTTTGCTTGTCTGACATATCCGCCACTCAGAGATGTCTATACATATCTGCCACCCAACAAATAAAATTGAACAGGAGATAAAAGCTTCTATGGCTGATTGAAAAGTGTTTGTTAAAATTGCATTTCCCACGTCAGACATATGAACTTCGTCAGCATGGTAAAGCCCCTCCTCCGAAAACTCTATATCAGGGTGATTAATAACTCTGCTGCTTACTGATGCGACCGCCCTACGAGCCGCTCTGTTAACTCTTTTTCGCTTCCGTTCGACGGAACCTATGTCACGACCCCCTATCCATTTTCTGCCCGGGAGTATATCAGACGATATCATTTTGCAACTTGGTAATTTGTTTGCCATTAAACATATGTCGTGCTCTATTCTGGTACATAATACCTCGCTCTTAATTGATGTGATATCATTCCCCCCTAGGTGGATAATTAAATATGCTGGAGGAGGACATTTAGTTACCTTTTGCTCGATAGAGTCAATGAGCTCCTCCCATTTCATGCCCCTTTTGCCCATCCAGGTTACCTGAACGCCTAAATTTTCCAAGGCGTAAGTTAGTAGTCAGATTTGTAGACGCCCATCTACATGCCCAGTAAACAATTGAAGATCCCACAATCCATACAAGATGCTCTAAAGAAGCAATAAATAATACGGTAAATACAACTCATCTACAAAGCTCACATCATATCTATTCTAATATACTTTAGGAATGCGCTTGATTTCCAGCGTCCCAATAATTGGATTTTGTCATGTGATACCCCTTTTAAAGCAAGACACGTTGCACCTCAAATTCTAAAAGAATGTGATTTGTAAGCATAAATTGGGTGATTAATTTTCGAAAGGGTTTTTCTCAGGACTGCGTTAAACTGATATCTAGTTAGTGGGGATTTATTGCTATGCACGAATAATGAACCCTCAACACGTGGTCTCACTGCAAAATTTTTTTTCAAATTATTAACTGGGCAAATGTTTCTTTGATGAAGAGATGGTTATCAAATATTGATACCTTTTCCTGTTTGATCAGCTTTAGATAATCTTACAGAGATAGAGACGCAAGGAACGCTCTTTGACGTACAAAATTTTATATCCTTAATAGTTAAAGGAACATGGGCGCAATGCTCCGAGGTATGCACTAATTCCCCTACCCTAAATAGACCGTAAAAGGCCAAGGTAAAAACTGATCTAAACAATAATGTTTCATATTCCGAATAACACACTTGATTTAGAGCGCTACAGATTTTAGCGAGAACCTCTTCCGAAATAGGTGCTCTGTGGTCTTTTGTTCTATTCAATCTTCGAAATCTGCCGGATCGGTCCATTGTCTCAGTTTGTGTACATAGCTAATACTAGAAATATTTATTGTGTATTGTTTAACGTCCCTCTCGAGAACTTTTCACTCATATGGAGATGTCACCGTATGCCGGTGAAGGGCTTCAAATTTTGACCTTTACTCGGCACTCAGGGCCATTGAGCAGTGAAGGATCTTTATCGTGCCAACGCCTGCCGCTGACACGGGGCCTCGGTTTTTAAGGTCTCATCCGAAGGACCCGCAACTTTCACTTCAAAGTGCCGAGCGCATGGCGAAGGAACAGTTGCTACCCATTTTAACGACTGGGTCAGTCGCGGCCGAGATACGAACTCACGACCTCCGGATCACGGAGCGAGCGCTCTACCGACTGAGCTACCGTGAACGGTAAATAATACCCGAAATATAAGATGAAACTGTTGAAGCTGCTGAGCCCTTTCCTGAATGATATGCTATATATAACAGAATATGGTTTGAAGGGACTGACCATTTATCAGGTAGTTTTGTCAATATTCTGAAATCTTTAAAATTCTTTAAAGCTTGTAAGTATACAGTCCTGGTGTTTGCTGAAATGCTTGCATCTAACAATCGGGTGATTTCGTCTCGAAAATAGTCCAAAGTGCCCCTGGAAATGGTGTAGGCTGACTGTCTGCGTCCG